GAAGTGGAATCTCCCATGAATATAAAAAGATCGTTTTGTTGACCAACGTGATGGATTTTTCCGTTCCTAAACGAGGCTGACAGGACTAGATGGGAAGAAGCAAGTACTCTCATTCTTAACATAGAGCTTGCTGAAGCTACGTGTCAGCTAAGCATGTAAAGCTTCCTCTCGCATTATTCAAACCTGCGGATTTTTTCATTTTACTAAGCAATAAATACTCAGAGTACATCACACATTAAATTTATGCGGGTCCGAAACCGATCAGTTTCAAGTCAATTGTCACAGCATACGTGACACGTGTATTACAAATGGCAGACTTTCGTGGTCAAACCACTGGGGAAAAGTGGACCTACTCATTTTCCTCTGTATCTCCGACGAAATAACAGCAATAAATTCAAAATTAATACAGCAGCAATTTATAGGGTGAGAAAGTGGTTAAGCTGTTGGATTTCACATGAAAGCGAGCTCACGCACATGGCTCCCTGATCCTTCCATGGTGACGTCATGAGCGGCAGCCAATGAAAAGCAACCAGCTGAGCTGAGACCACCTTATATTCTATCTACCTTGGGCGAGACTGCAGCATTTGCATGCAACTTCCTCTAGTTTCTCGGGAAAAGAAAAAACCGCCACACCAGGGCTAATCGAAGAATTATTTATGGAGGTGGGGGAGGCAGCCAGGCCAGACAGATGGGGAAGGAGGGGCGAAGAAAGGGGAAAGGGGGGGCGGGGAAGCGTTTAAGCGAGGAAAAGGAGCGGAGATGATATGGGAATTAAACCTTCTCTAATCCTCCTATCGTGGATCTCCACTGAACCTCTCAGCTCTGGCAGGTAATAAAAAAGGCCTTTGTGAACTGTATGACGGGGGCGGATTCTCCCCCATCACCCTCTTTCCCCTCTTTTCCCCATCTGGATCCGCTGGATGCATCCAGGACGCAGACGCAGGCGAGTTTACCAAATCGAGGGGGAACACGTATCGAACAGGAGCAACGGAACTGCATGCAAGGCAGTCGCTTTAAATAGAGAGGCATCAACGATCGTCGACCCGCAATGTAATCAGCACTGTAATCAACGCTGTAATCAGCGCCATAATCGGCACGACATCCGTCATGCAGCCTTTCCTCCTGTCTCGCTCGATATCACTCTACGAAATGATCTGCCCACGTTTCAGTGCCGCATGCCGCGAAAGGGTCGAAATTAGTTCGACCCTTTTTTTTAATTAACGGCGAAGGGATTCGCCGAATTTCTTCGTGAAATCCGCGCAACATAAAAAATTGCATCAGTAATGAAAATATAAATAATAATGAATAAAAATATTTAAAATAATAATAATAATAATAACAGACCGCACCATCGTCTGTAACAGGCCCGACCTCACGATCTACGACAAGAAGACCGTCGTCGGCGGCGTGAGCATACCGGCTGACACCAAGACAAGACAAGGGAGAAGTAGGACAAACACCCAGAACATAAAGTGGAAGTGGAGCGTTTATGAAGACTACCATCATCGGGACAACCGGCGTGGCCCTGAAAGACCAGCTGACATCCTCCGCCGTGTCCTCCAGAGCTAAACAAAGTTGATTGGGGTGGGGTTCGGACACCTTCGCACTTCTTTTGCCGGCCGAATGTCAAACATAATAATAATAATAATAATGCATGGTAAGGATGAATGAAAGTTGTCCAGGGGTGTAAAAATCATTGGAGGTCAGCGCCCCCCATGCCGAGATATTCTATTATGAGAACGCCTTGCAAGATTTTTCATTAGCGGTATAATTATTTTGAAGGATTTCCTCATCAATACAGCTCGGACGGCCCACAGCACAGGCTAAATTATACCGATGAGACCTCGTTCTGACCCCTGTGAATGGGATGGAGAGTCCAGCTGGGATGCGGGGAGGATTAAAATTGAAGGTAAGAGAAAGGTATAATGGTAAAAATGTTTCGAAGAACTTGAAGGAAAAAAAAGGCAAGTCGTTTTGGTTTTTCACGTCTTTTTGCAGAAATGATATTGCAGTGTATAACGTTAATAAGTAAAGCTAATTGATGCTAAGAAATGTAATTAATTTAATTAATGCTAATACATACAATTAATTGATATACTGATTGAATTAATTCATAATAACAAATTATATTATACTTTAATCAAATAAATATTCCGTCCGAAGTCGAAGTGGATGGGCCCAGAAGCTCCATGTTGCCTTAAATTGATCTGGTTGCATGTCGTTTACGGGATTGATGAACCGGAAAGAACCGGAATCAACTGGAGTGGCCCAAATACGGAAACGGTTTCCGTGACGCCGAGGCGGTGATTGGTGCCCCGAGGGAATAAACCGAAAATCGGTCGAGTCTTCCGGGCAAAAGAGTTTCCTGAAAACTTCTCGGAAGAAGGGCAAGTCGATGAAGGACGAGATTGCACGGAATCTCGCAGTGGGCCAATGCGGGTTCCTCGGGATTCCCAAGAGGAAGCATGAATTCTGCGTCCCAGACGCAGAACTCTCGTTGAGTCCCAAGCTTCCGAAGGGGATTCGGCGCTGCAATCAACTCGCTGGAAGTTCCCGTCGACCGATGATGGAAGCCTCCGCGGTGCCAGGACATCCAGCGGGCATCCCTTCGCGAGAGCCGCAACGGGCCCCGACCTCCCGCGGCCCGCGCCTCGCACCCAGCGGCCCGCGCAGCACTCGACGAAAACCCGGTCAGGCTTTTACCGCTCGCATGACTCCGTTTCGCACACTGGAGTCGGAAAAGCGTTCGGTAATTCCCGGCCGCAAATTTCTGCGACGTGTAAGATTTGTTTTAGGTGAATTGATAGTTTTTTTTTAATACCTTCCTCGGCGGTGCCACTTCCCGTCCACTTTTCTCATCATCAAACGAAAGATTAAATTTTCAACCCTTCCCAATAAAATAAATGCCACAGTCTTGCGAACATCTCACCGAGAAGTTTAATCTAATTGGAGGAGACAGAGACGCATTTTACAGTAGGAAAGGCCCCCCTTCTGGTCCCCTGTGCCCCTCACCCTTCTTAAAACGTAGTTTTTCGCCCTTTCTGAGGTAATTTTCTTTTCCGCCAGACAAGAAAGGAGATCCGATTCTCGCAGTACCTCGAAGGAAAAAAATTGGAAGCTTTCACAGTCGAATAAACTTTCTCTGTCGGCCTTCTTTCCGCCTCTCCTTCGTATCGCGAGCCCAGAGCTGGTTCGGTTCATTTCGGTTTATCGATCACGGAAAACAGTTTCACGTCAAAATTGAAATTCCGTGTTTGAAGCTCCCGGGGGATTCAATCGCATTCGAGTTATTCCATTTTATTTGGCGTAATTATAAATCACCGTATTTGTTACTTTATCTATTCTGAGTAATAATGCCTTTTTCGTGGTGACGATTTAGAACTGCCGTTTCCCGCCGCAACTCCCAAGCAGAGGTCCAGAGGAATTTGACCTTTTATTTAGGTAAGATTGATGAATTTAATAAATTTAGAGAAGAATACCCGAACGCATCGGCTAAAGTAGGCTTCTCTGCAGGCCCACGACGGCCTGGATGCAGTGGCGGAGCAAGAGGCTTCAGCCCCACTCAACTCTGGTCGAAATGCGTCCACCTCCACCTTCCCCCCACCTTTCCCCCATGCAAACCCTGGCGACGTCACTGCCTGGATGAAGGACCACCACTGCAGCCTGTTTTTAGCCAGTGCGGTACCCTTTCCTCTTCATATGCTTTCAGGCTTCCACATATTAGCGTGGGCGCAAGAAGTTTCTTGGCGAAGAGGGTGGGGGAGAGGAATTTTTTCCATGATTCCAAGGAGAGGAAAGGCAAAGGGAGAATTCTTGGGAGGGGGGCAAAACTGACCTTTGGCCCCCACTCTCGAAGACGGGGAGCATCCGCCCGTGCCCCCCTGCCCCGTTGGTACGCCCATGCATATTAATTTCCCGCATTAATCTGGACGATGAAGCATGAAGAGGCAGGGGAGGGGCGGGGGGGGGGGCAAGGGGGCAGGGGGGGGGGGAGGCAGGAGGGGGCAGGGGGCCCTCCTTACGACCGCAATCATCCATCACTTCGCGAATGAAAAATGGAAAACGCGCGGGCATGACGGTAGGCAACCCTTCCATCAGCTTTCATCGCTTTTTAATTTTAATTTTTTTCGTTTATGAAGCTGTGAAGCGTCGGGCATGATGTCTGCACGAATATCGTGACTCCTTATCATCTCAGATCATCATTATGAACTCAACGGCGAAATCTCACGGGATTATTCTCCCGCAACGGACTTTCTACTGCATTTTCCCGAGTCGAGACCGCATTTTCGTTCGCAAACCACGGCTAGGCCGGTCATGTCTCCGGGAAACTCGAGAATCCATGCACCTTAAATGCCAGCATGCCCCACAGATAAGAAGAATTTCCCTCCTCCATCGCCCCTTCCCACCCCCTCCCCCCCCTCTCCCACCCTGCCCCCCACTCGCCCCAGGAGAAACACAAAAGGGGGAATACATCACCGCTTCTTCCCGATAAGGAAAATAAATCTCAGGCTACTCTGAGTCTCCATCTCCCAACTGTCCAGTCACTCCCCATGCAATGACGTCATAGACACGTCACGATTCCAGTCAGGGTTGTCAGAATAAATCTCGTGCATGTGCATCACCCTGATAGTTAATTGTATGCTGACAGGGAAAAACCCGCATTTTCATCGGAATCTCTTCGAAGACAATCCCGAATACGTTTTATTATTAAGTCCAGAATTTCTCTGAGGAAATCGACGATGTAAAAAAAAAATAGTGGCAAGGAGAATTAGGTTAAATAAAATAAAAATGAGAAAACGCAGTCGTATTTCATTAAATAAGTTTTTACAGAGTCAAATTTCCCACCTTTCAAAAAGTCTGCGGGAATAGATAATTAATTTATAATAATATATAATTACGATTAATAAAAATCATTCACCTGTAGTTTATTTTCCTGAGAGAACTGATCGAAAGACACTTTCTATTTTGACGTTCACTAATGAATTTACATGAGTTTACTTATGAACGTATGCAAATGAATTGTCCTGAAGCTGGCTGAACCCAGCTGCACTGATTGTGCTCATGTGCTAAACCGCACTAAAGAGAGGGAACACTAAAAACGTGGGGGAAAAATTCGAAACTGAAACGGACTGGCTGCCCGAAAAAATGTGAGAAAATGGTGAGGACGAGAAAGAGGACAAGCGTTCCAGTCCAAGGTCGCGAACATGGCTGCCTGCTGTGCTGGGCCTGCCCCTCCGTTATAGGCTCTCGCAGGCCCTCGTTGGCTCTCGCTTGGCATTCCGTTAGCTCCGATCGATCGTCTCGCTGGCCATTTGCCCCGGCGAACGGTTTCCTTTCGGTTACTTGCGGCGTCGAACGCCAGAAGGAGCGGAGGGGATGGAGAAGCCCGTGGGCTCCGTATGGACGGAGATGAAGACCGAAGAGAAGCTCCATACGCTTCTCTCGTGGATGAAGAATTTTCAGCTTGCTTCGCCGCACAACTCGTTCACCGACCTTACAAGTGGTGAAGCTATTGCTGAACTGCTCAATAAGGTCTGTTTGTCCATGTTGATATATGTGTAGGCCTAGGCCACGAAACGGAAGCTGGACGGTCGCTTGGTTTTGCTATAGCCTAGATCTGCGAAATGGACCCACAGATCTTGATGGATTTTCTGAAATGCTGACCGTTAGGTTTAGGCCTTTGGGTCTGATTTGCAAACCAAGGGATTTGTCTTTCGTTGCTGTTTTAATGACTTATGATAGGCTGAGAGCTTGCCCTTGGAAATGGTAGTCACTTCATATTTGAAAAACTAAAAAATTCTCATTTACTGTGATTCACCATATTAAGTAACTCACTCTATGGTCATGAACTATGTAGAAAATTAGAGAACAAAGAAAATCAAACACTATAAACAGCAAGAAGGGATGAACCTGGGTAGGCAACGCCCAGAGCTCTTTGTGTTCCTTGGTCACTGACCCATAACAAAGGAGAAAGCTTCTGAACAACTCCACTTGAGTGTATGGATCAGTGGACCGGCAATGATATGGGAGAGTAACAGCCTTTATAAATGCTGGCATATAATGCAGTAGGCCCAATGTCCATGTCAGACTTTTAGTTAGATTGAAAAAAAAGTTTTACTAAGTTGAACTTATAAGGAAATTTAGATCTGTATTCTCCCACCCACACAAAATCTTTTTGTGGATGAACAAATAGGTGAAGAGGAGTGAGCCTCACTTGGAAAGTGACAAATATAATGAATTTTTCTCCCTACATGTCAGCTGACCTGTTTCATTCTACCACAGTCATAATTGCTAATTCCCTGTATCATTCCTTTCCTACCTTGTGCTTATAAACTTTTGGCCCCCATGTGGGAAGAGAATCTAGGAGAGTAAAAGAGGTCAAATAAGCCAATATCATCCTCTTAGAAAACTTCAACTTTTCCAATCATCATAGTGACACTCTGTTTTACTACACCAGTTGCATTTGTATACATGGATGCCAAGCAAGACTGTACCTTTTTCATATTGGTCAGATTAGTGCTCTCATGTGACAGTATAACAACTTCTGCTTTTTGCAAACTGTGATGAAACTACGATAAATTCATTTGCCTAAAATTTCAGGATTTACCAACTTTAATTCCTAGGCTTTTATTTAATCTTCCAAAGAAACTAGTTAGAAGTTTCAGCTGTTTACATTTCAAAAAACACCTTTCATTTGCTTAATTAATTTGCCTCAATTAACTACTCCTTTTTTTCCCAATACAGATCCTCTTCAACTTCCCTGAAAATCCTACAATGCTAGTTGGAAATCAGTAAATTTTAGAACTAAATAAGAAAGAGGAGCAGATCAAAAGAAAATCCTTGTTGAACCACGTCTTTCTCTTCAGTAGTTGAAGAAACTTGATTAATTTAAATGCATTGATCCAGCCAACCAACCCAAAGTTACAGTATGTATGCTTCAGGCTAACCTGAAAAAACCTACTAAAGTCAGAAAAAGGGGAACCTGAAAATCTTCCATCTCTGTTTCCAGATTGATGGAGAATTTTTCACAAATGACTGGCTCAAATCCATCTGTTTTGGAACAACTGACCCCTTCATGAAGAAGCGCAACCTTCGGATCACCCTGGAGAGGCTTGAAGATGGCTTTAGTGTTCGACTGAAGCAGCAAGGAGATTTTCCTTTCCCTCAGGAGAAAGACATCAGTGAAAAGAGGGATGTTGGTCAGCTGGTGACCCTTCTGCAACTTGTGCTCTGGTATTCTGTGCATTGTGAGCAGTCAAGGGAGATTGTTACACAGATTCAGCAGATGGACCAAGCTCTTCAAACATCCATCATGATGTCCATTACGGATATTCAACATCGCAGTGATGTCTCTTCTGATACACCTGACAGTATTCCTGGGGGGATCCCCAAACCTGGCCCCAATAGCATTGACATCTCAAGTAATTCAGATGAAGTGGAGAAACTTCGCCTGGAAAATGAAGACCTCAAGCTTTCCCTGGTTTCCACAAAAGAGAGTCTGCTTACTATGAGGAGTGAGTGTGATACCTTGAGGCGCCAGCTGAAAGAAGTGGAACGTACAGTTGGAGGAATGCCACAAACAGTTCCTCAATTGAAGATCAGGATTCAAGAATTGGAGGACATGATTGAAAAAGTGGAAAGCACAAAAGAAGAGCTCAGACAGCAAGTCACTGAACTGGAAAAGCAGTTAAAAACAGCCAAATCTGGTAATATGACACTCATGCAGGAGCAAAGGAGGCTTCAGGATGAGGTGGATGCCTTACGAGAAAGTCAGGATAAGCTGACACATTTAGAGAAGACAGTTCAAAATTTGTCCAAGAGTGCAGAGGAAGTCCCACTGCTGCGAAGTCGAGTTCAGGACCTGAAGGAGCAGTGTGAGGAGCATTTGAAGGAGAAGATTCGTCTGGAAGAGACGAAGCGTGCAATGCCACGTCTTCAGGCTGAATTGGATAAATATGCAAAGGAACTTGAGGGAAAAGGGAAGCAGCTGGAAGAAGAGACTCAGAAGGTTGCAAAAGAAAGATATGACAACAAAGTCCTGAGAGAGAAGATTCAGGTTCTTGAAATGGAGAAGAAGTCGTGGCTGGAAGAGAAGGAGAAATGGGAAGAGACCAATTTGGAATTAGGGGGGGGGAGGCTGAAGGCTGATGGCCTTTATGATGTTCCCATGGATATCAAAGAAAAGCTCCTTCGGCTAGAGCATGAAAATGAACAACTAAAGGCCCAAGAGAGTATGGACTTGAAAGCACTGCAGCAGAAGCTCCATGAATCCAGAGAGCGTGAGGAAATGCTGTCTGCCTCTAATAAAAAGGCTCAGGAAAAAGTCTTTGAGTTGGAGCTCCAAATCAACGATCTGCCTGCATTGTCTGGGGACTCAGCTAAGGAAATGGAGCGTGTTTATGCCCAGTTACATGAGAAAGATGTCACAATTGCAGCCCTGCAGGACAGCCTTTCCCGAAAGACAGCAGAGATGGACCAGATGGAAGAGAGATACAAGAAGTACATAGTGAAAGCAAAAATGGTATTGAAAGCTATGGACCCTCAGCAAGGATCAGGAAGTAGCCAGTCTGATGTCTCATGCCTAAGGGAGCAACTGCTTGAGAAACAGAAGTTGATTGATAAGTTGCGTGATGAACGGGAAAGGGACAAGGCCATCCACGAGACAGAGCAGAAACTGATGGCCTCGGCATTTTACAACATGGGGGTGCAGCTTGAGAAGCAAGCAATGGACAGACGGCTGGCCAGCCTCAACGTCTTTGCTACTCGTAGAGAGGATGAGTCTGCTTTGAGGACAATTGTTCCTAGGGGCTATCCAAATGATCACACACCTGCCAGCATGGAATGATGAGACTTCTTGATTACCACCTGCAGTCTCTCCTATACTTTAGGCTTGACAAGGGTCAGTCAGTTTGTGGTATGGTGATACATTCCGAAGTGCCTTCAGGGACAAGTGAATGCGTTTCAACCAGATTGTTTCCATGATTCAAGTGCTTCCTGCTCAACATCCCTGCATCTGAGTTGGACGCATTTCCATTAACCAAAGATTGTGTGATATGGACTGTGCATTAGCATGCTTTATAGTAGTAATGTCAAGGCACTAATATGAATGATTTGACTTGAGTCAGGTATCTGACCCTAATGAGATAATGTTGGAATTGCTACAATTATGAAACTTGGTGCAGCTGTCAATTGTAGCCTCTAATATAGCACCTGCCTAACTCACCCCTTTTCTTGATTGATTTTTCACAAGATTGTTGAGGTAGCACAAATGCACTGACTTTCTTGTGATAAAAATACTTTTATTTGTGAGAAATAAAGCCAATCATGCATTGGATGGTTTTTTCAGTGCAAAAGTTATGTGAAAGAGGCAACATTGAGGAAGTGGAATGGAGTCAAGAAGCTCCAACTGTTCCTCTGACTAGACAAACCACAGATGACAGGACGGATAGGTATGCATAATGCAAAAGGCATAATCTTACCCATTATCACATCAAAATTTTTGTACATGAAAGGAAAAAGACTAGAAGAGATTGCAATTTTCAGTGAAGTCCATGCTAGGTCAACTTAGTAGCATGACCCTGGAGCCACTTCTTGTGCTGAGCTATGCGCTCACGAATGCTCTTATCCTGGAGCCATGAAGAGGAGACCAAAGGTGCTTGTGAAGGCATTCGCTTAAAGCCAACACTTGAATCAGATGCACTGGAAGATTCCTTGGTGAGGAGATGGAGAGCAGGGTGACTTCCACTGCGCTGTAATCTGTAGGCTGAGCCTCGAAACCTGTCTTGTGTCCAGGCCTGTCCTGTGAGTGCAGTGACAATATCTTTTGATGGAGGCAAAATCTTATGAGGCATTGAATCATCCTTCAAGAAGTTTCTATGTTCTCCCTCAACTGCAAATCACATAACACAGAAGCTAAATTGAGGACACACCATGCCAATATAAGGGCCTTGCAAGAAAGAATAAAAAAAACTTACATCCTTCAAAAGGACAGAATCCATGATCCTTGGAGTTATGACTGAGGGATCTGTCTGATGCTCTTTGTTTGTGAATGATGTGGTCCAGTTGAGATATTATACTGTAGACTTCAAGAGACCTCAATGCACTCAATCCTGCAGCCCTTTCTACAATGAACAATAGCAATTTCATGTGATAGTCACATGAACTGATTCTGTTCATAACACAATAAATGATTTCTTATCTGTAAGAAGATACTGTCGACATATACAAGGGGTTATCCAAATTTTTCTGCCCTGAGGGAGTAGATATAATCAGAAGATCCATGTTACTTTATCCTTTTTGGTAACTTCAAGGGTGAGTAAATGGATTTAGGTGCATTAATTTTTTTAAATTGTATATCATAAATGTTCCAGTAAAAAGTTTTCCATTTCATAATGACAAAATTTGAATATGGAGCAGCTATGCAGTTTTTTAAATTAAAGCATTCATTTGATATAAACTTACTCATCCCCACAAAACAGCTCATTCAATACTATAAATTTAAAGTGAAACTTCCTGTAAAGTGGTCACAAAGGTGAAACATACAATAATGTCAATTCAACATTAAAGGATTTAAAGGGGAAAATTGTTTCCCCTTCTTTTCTCATAAAATTGAATCAATCAATTGTTCTATCAATGGGACAAGTATTGTTCAGGGAGGTATAGCTGAAAAATACATTTTGTTTAATCAATCTATCACATTCCCTTATACCTCAGAAACTTTAGAAACACCCCTTATATGTCAACTATTAGTAAGGAAGCCCACACACTGACAATTTTCCTACATATACACCATACCACCAAATGTATTGGGCCAAGCCCCCCCCTTCACCAATAGCAGATTATGCCAGAGGCCATGTGCATTGCAGTAGTCCAAAAGGTATATAGAGGTAAATCTGCAATCTGTTACAGACAGTGTTTGCCAATTAATTTCCATGGAACAGGAATGTGACAGGGTCAAGTCACAGATACCCTGCACCTGTAATACGATAACCATCACTCCATATTTGAACTCGTCAGCTCTGATCCACACAGCATAATGGCAAACATTGACAGTAATAGATTGCAGATTCCCTTTATATACCTTTGGACCACCACAATGCACATGACCTCTGGGATTATCTGCTATCAGCAGAGGGAGGCTTGTCCCAATGCTTTTGGTGATACAGTGAATGTTTTATAAAACCTCTGCTTCATGACAGAAGACCCAGCATATCATTCCTTCAGGCAACCTGAATTTACCACAATTCAAACAAACTTCCCAGAGCCTATCTTGGCATGAAGCAAACTGATCCAAAACATACCTCTTGTTGGTATGGGGTCCTCAAAACTTGACACTCCTGAACTACCACTGGCAGCATCAGAAAAAGAAGATTCATGCTCCTTCCTGTTTTTCAGATCTCTGTGCCAGGCCTGGTCTCCTTTACCATAATTTCCGTGTGTCTCAACGAGTGAACGCAACAGATTTGCCTGCTGAAAAAAAGAAGGGAGAAATGGAGAGTTATACCCACAGAACTTTCAAATGCTCTTGTCTTAAAATTACACAGTGAACACAAGACCCTACCTTCTTAGTTGATGCTAAAACACCATCAGTAGTTAAACCCAATCTCATCTGTTTCTGGAGGAAAGCTTCAGCACGATGAAGGGTACCATCTTGAAGCATCTCCTCCCAAAAGGATCTCTTAATACAACCAGATGCCTCTTGCACCTCCTTGACTGGGTTCCCTTTGGTCCCCCCTGACTTTCTTTCTCCTTGGTTATCAACTTTTTTAACAGAAACAGGGGATACCCCAAAGTCAAATAAGCTCCCATCTTCAGATGTTTCATATAGTCTCCCAGCATCAACAGAGGAATCATCCAGTGTCGAAGGGAGGGGGGAAGCAGCAAATTCTTCACTCTGCTTCTGTGTCTTCCTCTTGACCTGAGCAGTCAGAACTGATTCTTTCAAGCCTAAAAGTTTACTCTTTATGTCATCATATTTTTGCTGGTAACGGTCAGATTTCTGTTCAGCCCTTGCCAGCTGCTTGCTAAGATCTCTTAGATCTGTCACAGATATACCTTGCATCTGCTCTCTCAGGTGCTGTAGCTCCTTCTCTAAATTGTTCAAACGTTCCATCTCTGACACATGGGGGTCACATGTTTTGTTGTCCACAGCTAGTGCAGTAGGTTGTTTTGTATCATGGGGAACTGCAGTTTCCTTTAAACTTGACACTTCCACCTGTGTTGTTTCCTGTAAGAAATAAGTGAAGCATACAATGTAACCATTACAATAATATGAATTCCAGGTCAAAGTAGATGATTATATTAACTAACCTGGTGAGAAGATATCTTCTGCATTTCATGCAATCTGTGCAAAAATTTGTCTTCCAAATGAGAAGAAATATCACGCAATGCTTGTTGATTCTGTTCGTCATAACTTTGGATTTTCTTGCTTAGTTCTTCCTGTAGCTGTCTTTCAAGCCCTTGTTCTAATTGTTGGATTTCATCCTGGAATTGCTGGAGAAACTTGTTCCTCACATCCAAGAGATGCACTTCATGCTGCTTACGAAGTTCTTTTTCCATCATTTCTTGCCTCTTCCTCATCTCAGTCTGCATCTCTGTCAACTTGGTCTGCCTCTCCCTCTCACAGTTCTCTCTCCAGGCTGAAATTTCTTTGTTAAGCTGCATCTGAAACTCATGTGTCATCTTATGATAAGCCTGTTTCTGCATCTTCAATTCTTCTTTCATCTCCTCTTCCAGCCCCTCAAATCGTTGACTCCAAAGTGCGTGCATACGCTTTCCCTCAAGTTCCACTTGCTCTTCATTATAGGTTACTGCTCCAGAAATTCTTGAAGTCTTGCCATCTTCCTGACTATTTTTATAGATGGTAGGTTCTTTTTTCTTCTGAATAGGAATGATGTCTCTCTTCTCGTTGGACTGGAACCTCTCTCTCTCATCAAGTTCATCTTCAAATTTCATTCTCTTCTGCTTTTGCTTGTCATAATCAGATATTTCACTTCTACCTTGCTGTCTGATTGCTTCTTCCTTTGACTTATCTTGCTTACTGGCAAAATTGTTTGTTTCTTGCTTTTGAATGCCTTCCTTCTCTTCTTCGATGGATGCCATCTGAGGTTGTTGTGGAGTGCTTATGCTCCCCTTTGAAGTAACTAGGGCATGGGAACCAGCAGTGAGTCTGTTTCTTTGCAAAGTAGAGGAGTCAACCTTTTCGCTATCTCTCTTGTCTGCAACAGCAATGCTTTCACCTGCCTGGAGGAACACAGAAAATCCAGCCCGTGTTAAGAAGAACATAGAATGCTAATAGGTATTCAATACAAAAGGAAAGTTTCTTAGAATGGCAAAATGCTGTTAATGCCATAAACAAACTCATTTCCAGAAAAAATCCTTACCTTCATTAAAATAAATTCCTTTTTGGTATCCTGATACAGTTTCTGCCTTAACAACTGTTCCATGCTTTCCTCACTAGATACCAAGGGACAAGGAAGGGATTTGCAGACTGCTCTGGTACTAGTTAGATATTCTCTGATCAACCAGTTGATGTTCCAAAATGATACAATACTCTCATGTCTGCAACCTATTTTTCTGAACCAGGTTTTCTTTCCTCTAAAGCAGCAGTTCTCAAACTTTTGGGTGCATGACTCCGTTTCACAGAAGTCGAAAGCTTGTGACCCCCAATTTTCAGGCTGAAGAGAAATCCAGTGCATGGTATTTAAAACTTAATGGATATGCATCCTGGGCTGCTCATTAAAATGAAACCCCATGTAACTCCCCTTTAAATTTATTCTTAATCATGAAAAGCATTGAAAGCATCATTAATTAGCGCTACTCATTATCCAGTGTGATGGGTGAGCCTACTTTGCTGAGACATTGCGATCCAAATGAGGCACATTGCTGCTGATTCTCATTCACGGGTTACCTTCATCTGTGATTTGGTTGCTATATTTGCTTTTGCTGATCACCAAAGAAGAAAATGCAGATTCACTTAGGTATGTTGATGCATAAGGTACCCCAATATTTCATCCCCAGGATACAAATCACTATTATTAATGACTGAGTCAACATCTTATACCCCAACTGGAAAAGGCAATAGTCTCAGGCTTTCTTGCTAAGAGGTTAGTACTACTGGATCCACAACCACATAACTCACACCCACACATTCCACCTTTGATGACAGCTTTGCCTTTACTCACCCCCAAGGGTGATTAAGGGCAAAGCTATCGCCAAATATGGTATTATTACAGCAGCAGTGGCTCTACTTTCACCTGTTATTCTACTATGCCCCTAATGACCTGCTTACTGGGTTATTCCTCAATTGGAGTTTCTTTTTGCTGTAATAGGAAGACATTCCTCTGAAATCTTTCTATCGGAAAACATGGTTCAACTGGCTTTGTGAAATCCGTGAAGAAAAAGAGATTTCTTAATTATTTCCAATCCCACTGGGAGCCTTTCGTGACCCTCCTGGGGGTCGTGACCCACAGTTTGAGAACTGCTGCTCTAGAGGATAATTCTCTGATGTTAAATAATAATTTCTCTCATGTGTGAGAGGCACTTTTTTATGATAGGACTTGAATTACCATAAATTAAAATACACATGCCTGAAAAAGGGAATGAAGGGCCCAAAGTAAGAAGGGAACATGAAACAATAGCATTGAAAACTTTAAAAAACTCACTTGTAAGTCTCGAGAAGATTTCAGTGGAGTAAGTCGCCTCCCTGGTAAAATAGGTCTCTCCTCCTTGATTCGATCATTACTGCAATAAGTCATATGGAAAATGAATATCATTCTGCATCAATAGACATGATTTTTCAAGCATCCCATCAACAGCAATCCAGGTTGGACTGAATGGAACTCCAAATGCAAAGGGAGAAAAGGAGTTCAGATTACTACAACTACACTAACTACAACAACTGCACTACAGTCGTCCCTCACCACTTCGCGCTTCGACTTTCACGGCTTCACTCTATCATGGTTTTTTCAAATATATTCATTAAAAAGTTGATCGAGACAGTGAAAATGATACAGCGCGTGCTCGGTTGTCTGAGTCAATTATACACCCCTGTATTACAATTAAAATAAAAATTACTGTACGCATGGACTGTGGGCCTATGTATTCGAGCACCCCCGCAAATCCTTCAACGCCAGGTGCAGCCGCTCGACCACTCCTTGTGTGTGGGCAAGAACTTTTTTCCAAAAAATCGGGTGTGGTGAAACCAAGCCAATCAGAGCGTGCTGTTCTGACTTACCGATAGGATAGGAGAAGGGTAGGACTGGTGACTAACCGAGTCGGAGTGCGTTCAAGCAAAGAGATTGTGTGCGAAGATGTAGCGATGCGTAGCCTTCGTAGAAACGAGAACATTCACAAATGTAATGTGTAATGGTGACTAAAGAGTGTTATTTCATGTCTAGAGGGCTCTAATAATGTTAAAACCCATATTCAGAAGGTCGTAAACAGGTTTTCTATGCTCTAACTATGAAAATATTCTATTTATAAATAAAGAATCCTACTTCGCGGAAATTCACTTATCGCGGTAGAGTCTGGAACTGATTAACTGCGATAAATGAGGGCCGAATGTATAGTAATGCAACAGGAAAATGAGGTTTACCCAATTCCACAAGCAGGTCTGCAGTCATACTGACCATATCAATTACTCAATTACCATAGCGGTTGCCTCAGACCTTTTCAGCATCAGTTGGTTTATTAACCTACTCTGAAGCTAATGTTTCATGATATTGAAGTTGACTTTTGGAAATTGGAATAGCATTAGTTCAATGTTGAAATCTGGAAAGAATTAGGAAGACTTGAATGAATGTCACTTGCAAAATAAAGTTAATGAATTCAGAAAATTGTTACAATTAATGACAACTGTAATTAGCTTAAAATCAGAAAAAGCAGGAGGCAGCAAGCTTGGATTATTAAAAATGTAAACATGCATGTTCCTTCAACTCACTCAAAGCAATAATGACTGAAAATGGCACCAATGAAGTGGTATACCAAAATGCATGTTAAAGTAGTGATTCAGGATTCACTCAGCCTTGGTCAGATGAGAAGCATTAATATAAATCAGGAAACACTCACCTATTAGCTGAAGATGGAGGCATTGGAGATTTCTGGGAAATGCTGTAAGGTCTCAGATCTGAGGCCTCAGATGTAACAGACTTGGGAGTGATCAGAACATTCAATCTATTTTCAGATCTTTCATCATCTTCACTTTCTTCCTTTTCTTCATCTGACAGGTCTTCAGCATCATGCAGCCCAGCAAATCTCCCTAGCACATCACCTACAAACATGAAACTTCCATATGAATTTCTAGTTCTTTTTATGCTGGTTCTTAACACTTAAGAAGAATAAGGAAAATTCATATAATAATTTTAAAAAAAAAACAAAGAAATCAATAAATGTCAGCACTAAAATTTTCTCATGTTAACACCCAAAAAACAAATAGGTTATTTGGGTGTTAACATAACATGGGGCACAACCAGCACAGATTCTGATTCCAGAACTGAATTCTTTCACAGTCCATGATTCTCCTTTTATTAAGAAAAAAATGATCATGCACTTAACATCAATTAGCTTCAATTTATTCCCTCCCTGTTGGTCACCTTTTACATATCCAGGACATTTCCATGTTTAAATGCAAATTCTGAAACATGCTTCACGTGAAACTAGGTATACAATGGAATCCAATACTTAAAAAAAACTGAAGTTATCAAGTAATAGCAAGATTATGCATCTGCCTCACTGATCCCCACAAATACTCTATGTATTGGCCAACATAATAGTACAAACTGAATTTCATCCCTCAACTGTCCATAGTTTCCAAAAAGAAAAAATACATACTTTTTCTCCCAATACCAAATTAATATTTGCATACTCTCTCATGCTCAAATGTTGCACATGAAAGCAAAGAATAATGAAAACTGAAATACACTATATAGAAATAAATGGATGCTACTGATCTCCTCATTATAAAGATCTTATACAGACAAATGAAACACTACCAAGCATCATTAAAGAAGTTGTCATAAAGTTCCTACCATCAAGAGATAGAGGGTCTCCTGAAGGAGGTGAGCTTGAGTTAGACAGCTGGAATCTCACAGATTTGCCCTTTGAAGCCTCTCCAAATCCTTTAAATCAGAGATAGCTAGTTAGCTGCAGAAACTCAAGCACCACAATTTTCAACTTTCAACCATTCCTTGGCCTGATGACACCAACCTGCACTGCGTAGAATACCTGACGCAGGTGCCACTTCACTGGGAATTGAAGAACCAAACTTGTCAATAGAGGCACTCTGAGATCGGCTGAGACTCCTGAGTGTGGGAGGAAGAACTGGCTTCAAAGGGGCAATTGGAGATAGCCTTCGAGGTGGCTGGAATCTCACAGCCATGTCATCTTCCTTGCAGTCCTACAAAATGCAACATGAGTCTCAATAGCTGCACTAACCATGAGATCTTTAAATAAGGAACATAACTCTCACCAATTGTTTTAAATTGTGCAGCTTTCCCTCATCTGCATCAAAAGACAATGTGAATTCATTGATTGCAGCATTCATTCACACTTCAAAAACCTTCAAGCCAGTTCACTGTTTGTATACACAATTTAAGCAACATAGAAATTGCTCTGCAGATTGAGTTATCTAGTCTGTCACCTTGATTGAGCTTCCCTACCCCAACCCACTTTAAGAAGTATTGAGTTAGTAATGTCTGCCTTATGGGGAAAGAGAAAAAGCATGGGAATAAAAATGTGATATATCAGTACATTTTGACACTCATGCTAAGGATGCACACTTTGGTAGCCATAGATGGTTTTATGATCTCTTACAGAAAAAAACAGCTTTCAACAAATCATATATGAACAAGTTCTGGCTTCAGGCAAAAAAGCATGAAAAAACCAACTTGATTCAAAATCAGCACGATGGCGAAGACTCTTCACCAAGTTTCTCAACTCTGTGTCACTTGGATGTATCCAACTTGATACGAAAGTTTTCAAATTGTAGTAATACCATCGCTGATGAACTGCATCCCAACTAAAGTGGAATTGGAGATATAATTAATATAAGCTACTACTGAAAATTGAAAAAATACTACCAAAAATATGAATGCTACCATGGTTTCCATTCAGGTGGGAGGGGTTTCTTCAAGCCAGCTTTTGCAATAAAAAGCAAATTTTGCTCTTTATCAACATCTATGCCCAAAGTTTCTGCATATCTGAAGATATCTATGATGTCAAAAAGAGACATCATGGCATCATAGCAAATTCACAACCCAGGGATGAACAATAAAAAAAAAAGGTTTGAAATTACCTTCCTCTGTAGGTTCATATGAATCCCAGATTTCTTCACATATCTGATTTTCTGAAAACTTTCCAGGGGGGATTTCGGGTGGATTTCTGCTCATATCCAGCTTGTGAGTACATTTTCAAATTTTCTCTATCACATCTAAGAATGATGGAAGGCATTTATACAAAATACTGAAAATTTTTACTGTTAGAATTCAGCAAACATTTTCAAGACTTTTACATTCCAACTTCAAATTTTATTGGAGGTATGAAAAGTGGAAGTCACAAACCAACAGCTCATATGAGAGAGCAACTCATGCCAGTGCAGAGAGGCCGACTGATGAGAATTTTACTAAAAGTCTTCAAAATGTGTAACGGTACAAGTATAGTACAAGCAGTGTAACTTTTTCGACTATGAAATCAGTAATGTTCCAATAGAAAAACACCAATAGGACAAGGTAGGACTTTTTATTTTCTTCTCAGCTATGACGTGTATGAGACCTGATCTGTGTGGCAATGCGATCAAGATCCCGCTGTCCCTGCTGGGAGAGTCTGCGCCCACCATTTGGATCCTTCTCAACAATCTTCATGTGTTCAAGAGCCTGCAAGGCCTTGCGAGCAACTGAACCTGAGCTTGTGCAGTAATGGGATGGTGAACAGCCATTGCGCTTCCTCCCTGAAAAAACCAACCAATAACTAGGTAATATAGGAAAGTTCAGGATGATACTGCTTAGGGTAAAACCACCAATGTTCAGACAGTTAAGCCAGGATAGGATTTTAATTTGCTCTTCTTGCCTTAGTGGTACAACCCAGATGCTTAATTTTTTGTGTCCAGCAGTACAATATGAGTAGGTATGAGTGTGATAAAGATGATTATTGAAGCCTTATATCTTCTAATAATTCCAATTATGTGGGAGTCCAAACTTAGATGCATATCAGTCTCAACATAGAGATTCTAAATTGCCGAGTCATATTGATATTTCATTTTTAAAAAACCCACATTAAAGTGAGAATCTATGACAGTCAATCAACTGACTCACTGATAAAAGCAATTATTGACAGGACAAATTAGCTGTGAAATCAAAACGATGCCATGACTAGATATCTGGGGCCTTTACTTTTTTTTTTTAATCAAAAACAGTATGTCATTTACCACTCACAAAGCATGAATGGGCCTCATGTATATATTATTGTGATCCACTTAGTGTACTTCTACTTCACCTTGAATACCTCCATTGTCCTTCATCCTTCATCCCATCATAAAAAAGATTATTTGAATTAACTATTAAAGGCAAATGAATCTCAAAGGACACAATGAACCACATGTTGAGGCATATCAGAAAGACAGCTCAGCTGGAACAGAAAGATTGAGTTCTGCATAATCTCATAAGCAACAAGGATAAATAAAAAAAAAGCAAATTTCCTTCCTACGCCAGGTTTGATGAAAGAAAAGTTTGCCTTGTGGCATCACTATGAAATAAGACAATACTTAATTTCTACAACTTGAATCACTGCTCAGACGAAAGGCGAAGGTTGGGTACCTTGAAATCAAGTCAACTCATGTAAACAACTCTGAACTTGGCACATGAACCTTACTACAGCCACATTAAAGACAAAGATGTATGTTATTTCCTGCTTCTATTTCCTTTTGCTGGATATCTCCTAATCCTGAGCATCTCATCTTATGCTTTCACTGCAGGCATACACCTTTTTACATAATTAAAATAATTAGTTCCAGGATCTACCAACTTTCATAAATATATATAAGAAAATAGTTAAGGTCTTTGGTTGAGGCTTATTGTTTAGGATTGGAATTTTCTCATCTTTGAAGACAAAAAGATATGTTACCACCTTTCATTTTGAAAATGGGACCTCCTTCATGAGCATGTACATTGTCTTTCCAGTGATTGTTATCAACTGAAAGCATGCCATTCTCTGCTTCCCTACTCCCAGCTTTTCTTCTCTCTCTCCCCATTTGCATGTAGTAGGCGAGGTACGCATGACATGCACATCTTATGCTCCTCCCTCTCTGACATTGCCAACTGCAGCATCTCATCATTTAAGCAACCAAGTTAATAGGTAGTTTGGGCAATGGACATACATAACCACCTTGAATGTGTTAAAGGTATGTGTAACTTGTCATGCAAAAGACAGGCTGTTTATCATTACAAATATGCACTTTCTTTGTCTGTCAATCTTAGTTGACTCACATTTCAGGGTTTAACCCCTTAAGCGTTGGAGTCCAAATGGCATGCAGGAGCTAGAATATTGTGTCCAAAGCACTGACAGGGTTAACTTCAACTTCAATCACACTGAGTAGTTCAAAGCTCTTTCAAAGAATAACAGATAAAACAAAGCAACAAAGAGAAGCAAGGAGGTGGAGAGAAAAAACAATGCAAGTCACTCTCATGTGTACCATGAAACAGCCCAGTGGTGGAATAATGAGCTCAAAAGATTTGAATGCCCAGAGAGAAGTTCCATCTCAAAGCAATCATAAAGAAGAATGACTCAGCAAAGGATTCATGTAACAGAAGACTATTAATTCATGGGGCTTGCATTCTCACAAGTTGAAAACACGTTTATGATACAAAATAACAATTCAAACAGGCTTCTGTCAGATAAAATGAAGACTTCTTCAGTTTTCCCAAGCTTGGTGTCAGGAGTTTTGTGATATGATGAAGCACATGATACATCATACTTATAATATTGTGTGCATCAATTGGGGCTTGTGAATTTGGTAAGACACATTTATATATACAGGTTAAATGCAATTACATGCCATATATATTTCCATATATTCCACATGTTGATACATAGTTATTTATATGAGAGCATATTTGATCTATTTGAGGCTTATTCATATTTCAAACATCGAGGCAACATATATGTTCAAAATACAAGATTTATCTGGATTGAGGGATAAGCTCCTGCATATGATGAAGTACCTGGTACCTTTCATCATTGACTTACAAAAGTTGCACAACTACTCTAAGAATTTGAGTGCAAATGTCAAAATGAGGATAACCTCACCTCCATAGATTCTTGCAACAGCACCAACTCCAACAGGTGCTCGAATGTAAACATGTCTTGCAATAGAGGCACAACGGATGTAAAACCAATCCTCATCATAGGGAGCAAGTTCCTTGAATTTTGCTGTCTTCACAATGTCAGTCCATTCTGGGACTTTCATCTTCCCAGACCTATAAGGAATAGAAAACCCAAATCAGATAGAATTGTAGGCTTACTGCCATACCATACCATACAAAGTGGCACAAAAAATTCTAAAAGTATTTTTTTCATGCATAATTGGGCTGAGCATATCTTAAAAGGGCCTTGCTTCAAAAATGTTTTCACCATACTCACTGTGTTACAGCAAAAATGACAATTTCAAAAGATAGTGGAGTGTGAATAAAATGTCATTTTGGGTCTAACAGTCCCTCCATTCTTAAATTGAAAATGGTAACATAAGAGTGTTCCATGCAGGAGCCCTGTGCTTGTTAAAAATGGCATGGAACCATTTCAGAGTTTGAAATTCACCTTTGTTTCAAGCAAACATGACCCTTCTATCTTTCAAATACATACTTCACAAATATGTGCCAAAATCATCATGATCATCAGCGTATTCTATATCCTGGGCAAACCCCAAAAGGGTGGTGTAAAATACCTGCCCCCCCACCCAGCTCCCAACAAAACCAGACTGAAAACAAAAGTTGCCCTTGATTTATCATCACACAATAACATGTAAAAAAATTTAAACTGTTACCAACATGTGCCTAAAAATTGCCCTGATTCTTCCAGGCCAAAACTTCAAAAATTTGCAGAACAAATCAATATCATCTTTCATTCAATTGAAAATGTATTCTTTCATTCTTCATGCATCATTTCTTTCACTTGGTGTTTCACATTTGACCCCACATGCTTGCAAACATTGTCATTAGGTTAGTTCCCTTGTCATTCTTCACATCCAATGTCATATTCCCATTACTTCTGGAGACAAAACCTTTCCACCCTGAAAGTTTCAATGGCATTCACAAGATGTACAATACCCAAAAAACAAACAAAAAATACCAGTTTTTACAGAGTAGTTTCTTTCACCCTATTATAGTTAGCAGTGCCTTAGTTGAAGTCATTTGCAAGGAGTCCCAGGATGCCAACAAGTTGTGATGCAAGATGTACCAGTATTGCATTGAGAGAAACAAGCATTATGATTTAAACTAAGTAGTAACCATAGCATCATGTATATCAGCAAAGAGAGTTTCATAATTCATTGCAAGAAATTGGAAACTATTGTTAACTTCAACTTGTGGAGAAAGAGAAGCTCAAGGGACATTAGCAGTTACTGCCAGCCAGGCAAGTAGGCTTAGGGATAACAGCCTATCCACAAAAAAAGTCAGTCTCTCAAATCTAACATCTCTCTTTTCATTAGAACTTCCCTTCCAATTACCATGGGTCAAATTGGCACTGTTTCTTATGACATCAATATAATGAGTGTGGCTGGTATAAAGAAGTTTTCCAGTGAAAACTCAAGAGGTACAACAAAATCTGACATCTTGTAAATACATAACAGCAATACGTAGTACTCAGAAAATCCAACCACATACTCTTTTCTCCCTTTCCAGTTACTTACTTTACTAGAATCTTCTTTGCTTACCAGACACTGATCAGCCAGATCTTTGTCACCAGGCCCAAGAGATAAAGGTATCTTCTTAACCCCCCCTCTTCCCTTCTGATTCCACTCAGGCATTTGCTTGTATTTTATCAATTCCAATAGATCCAGGGGCCAAAAAATTATTTCCAAAATTGTGGGAAACCCAACTTTCTGGGAAACAATGATTGAACCCAGTTTGGGTCACTAGGTTGCCATCAGTTTTGCTGCCTTGAAAATAGAAAAAAATGTCAAAGTCATCCCAATTCCTCTTCCAAGGATTAAAATATTGCTATAAGGAAGAACAAAATGAAATACAAGTGGGTTATTTAAAAAATTGATTAACCCTTTGGCCAGGTAACAAGACATGGTATTTAACTGATGATCCTTCTGGAGGGGTAGTGAACACCATTTCAGAGGTTCTAGTTTTCCAAGAGAATGAAGTGATGATAATTTCAATCATTTTCCAAAATCATGATTTTTGAATTATTGAATGAAAACTATTCTAGCCACCTTCATTATTGACAATATCATAAAATACTTTTAGTAGGTGTTGATAGGCATTGTTAGATCAAGAACATATGTAGCAGATGTGGCTTGGCAGCAAGAACTTAGGGAAACTATACTGCTATGAGATAAAAACAACTGTAAAAACAAGTGGTTGAGCTGGGAGTTGAGTCTGACTATGGCCATCTGGCAATCCCACATTCAGAGATTTGAGTTCTCCAAGAAATTCAGGGCTACGATATTATTTTCTATTAGTTGGGGATGAATTAAAACCGTTTTCTGAAAACAATGAAATTCATTTCATAAAATATTAATAATTACTGTGGAACATGGAAGGTCAAACAAAACGGATGCGTTCTGCCTACAAGAACTTCTATTCAGTGTTACAAGCTGTTACAAGCACATGATTCACCAGATTATAGAGTGCAGACCAGATGCTTCTATGCAAGAAAAGGGTGCTCCCTTTGGCTGAGGGGTCGACTACCACTACAGCCGAAAGATTTCTCTCGACGATATGTACTGTACTGTTTCCTTTGGGGTATGACTGGAATTATGGCACATACAGTGACCCACAGTTTGAAAACTATTGTGCAAACTGTAGGCTGTCCTTCATACGATCCTCACGTTAGTCATAAAGGAGATATATTATAGGGCGAACCCTAGGCCTAGAGAATCCTCGTTATTTAACTCACTTCTTCAAAAACGCAGCAAGCGCTTTGACGAATTTGTGTTGATCCACATCCTTCACGCTTGTCGGAAGCATTTTTCCAGCAGCTACTTTTCAGCCGATCCCAGTCCCACTCGGACACGAGGAAGAAGGAAGAACGCCTATTCGATTCCTCCGACCCCGGCTCGCCACCACGATTTCTATCGATGAAATACATTGTGATTCACCAAAAGGCGCTGGCGTACGATCGATGAGAAAGTGTATTGGAATATCTAATACGCTTTATGGCTTACTACACATGTATACTATGCAGAACTATCGAAGGATTTCACGATGCGATATCTAGATAGAAGAGGTCATGTATGAAATGTTTATTTTGACATCGCAGGCAGTGAGACGATGATGCACACAAAATGGTGGCTCACAGCAAAAAAGCGTATCGTCCTTGCTGTGCTGCTTCGTCACTGCTGATTATCTTGTGTGGTCGCAAAATATTGCCTGTGAGATTCATGAGTGATGTACATTAGGCCCTGAGAAACGTCATCAGGTCTGGACTGCCGAAATTTTTAACTAAGTAAATAAATCTTAGAATTTAGTAGCCTAATGTCACGATTTTGCATCGTGGTCTCGGCATGGGCTAATTGATGCGCAAATATTAGTTGCTAATTTACCCGTGCCAGATAACGTAAAGAATTCAGGACCATTCCCTAATAATAATTAAACGACAATTTTCCATCTGTCCAGCTCATGCGTTCATGTACACTGGTCTGTGTTATGGAGAGGAGTAGCCTTGGACAATTTTGTCGCATTTTGATATCATTGGCCTAGCCTTGAATAAGAGAGAGAGAAAAGAAAAAGAGCCTTTCATTTTCTCTCCCATTCAAGAAAAGTAAATGTAAAACACAAAAAAAAACTAATGGTGAGAGTAAAATGAGTATTATAGGTGACACTATATGTGAAGACCTAGCCCATATTATCTTTATACCCCAAAGTTGAGAAACTTCCTACCTGCCATGTCAGGCCAAGTTAGGGCTGCGTACTGTGTGTTTGAGATTGTCTACCTTTACTCTTACCTTTCATGTCTGTATATAGCCTTTTAGAACCTATACTCATGCCATCATGACATTGGAAGTTATTACAGGCTGACCATTTTTGCCGTTTTCGTTTCTCACTCTTTTGCTAGGAATTTTTCAGTTTTCAGAGAATGTAAGTTAGTCATATTGAGTTTGATACTAGCTTCATATACTTTTATATGCTTGCTCTGGGTGATTTGTTCTTGTGTTGAAGGCATAAAGCATAATGGAGTATCTTATTAAAGAAAAAAACCTGCCCTCTGAGCTTGAGTTTATTATACACTTTCTTTCCATGTCAGTTATTCAAAATTCTATTCCTTGATCAGGATAAATTTTCTATTATTGGTGAGCTCTCTTCACTTATTCTATTTATAATATATGATGATATGGGCCAGGGTTTTAGATATTACTTTGTCTTGTGCACACCTTGTTTTGTACCATGCACACTGTTAGAGGTGATGTTAATCAGTTGTGGGTGTCATGTGCATACTGCAACCTATGACTGGCACTTTAAAAGTGAGTGCTATTCTCCCAGACTCCCATGTGGAACATGCTGCCTGACGTAATGGCGAACAGGTACATGTAGACATGCCAAATCTTAACTTTTCAGAGGGCTCTCATCTGGGAAGTTTTTCAAGCAGAACAGTGCTCAGTTCTGTCACACTGAATGGCAATGGCAGGGTATTATCCTGAAGGTGAGTAGATAGAGTGGCCATATGCAGATCACAGACTGCCATTCTTTGGTGATTTGGAACGATGAAAATCCCGCTTCTGACACTACATGAACATGTTTTCATTTATATAGCCAGACATTGCGTATCACCTTCCCAATCTCAGATGAGATGAAGGTGATAGTGCGGGGGGAAGTGAGAGGGGTAAGGGGAATGTCACCCTATACACACACTGATAAACTCCTTCCAGCTCAGGGACCAGTTCCCTTGTGGGAACAGATTTTCCTTAGTTGCAAGAGTTCAACAGCTACCAACAGAGTTAGGTGTTTAGTGCAAGTGAAAATGTGAGAGGGGAGTGCTGGTGAAAAGTGAAACTTATTCATCCTGACTAAAGGCTAGATGTTTGGGTATACTGAAGTGTAAGTTTGCATTCATCTGAGGCATACCGATGCCTGATTGGAAGGGAAGAGGCAATCGTATCTCTTCTACATGTGGGTGACCAGGCCTACTGGACGTTCATCCTGTTTGCAGTTATGTCAGGCACGGTTCCACATTGAACATATGAGTGGAGGTTCAGTCCTTGTTGGGAAATAGTGTGCACAAGATGACGGAATACTGGGTTTCACACCAGCATTCTAGGGAAAGCAGAAAGGATCTATCATGTCTGCTGCTTCTCCACAGCTGGGATTATTATTTTTATTTTAGTCTAGTGTATTTATATTGTCTGTCTTGAAATGACTAGAGGCTTGTCATACATCAGGTTCATGTTCATGTTATTCCAAGTTTAAGAGTTTACAGCCTTCCTTTTTGGATCTATCAATAGGTTTGGCCTCCATTTGAGCAAGTCTTTCCACTCTCATGATTGGTTTTTCCATGGCACCCATGCCTCCTCTGGATTTCAATCTCTTTAATCATTCCCTTGCTCAACTGGAACCTTTGCTGCAATGAGTAGGCCAAACGATTGTGATGATAGTAAGCCTCCTGATGAAAAATCTGATGGATTCATGAATGGAGATCTCTTGGCCACCAAAAAAGTTAAACCTATTCCTCCACCTTTGGATTTGAGTGTTCGTAATCTGGAACTTGTTGATGGACACATTGAGCATGACAGAGATTCATTTTCTGTTAGCCCAAAGAGTCCAAACCTGCAGAAGCACTTGCCCCTCAGGAAAAGGTGGGTTATAACTTAATGCTGTCATGGTTCTCTGTAGTATTTTTTCAGCATGCTTTCACCCTCATATATTCCCCCGTATTTATTTTCAGAGCTTTCAGTTGGTCAAACTTGCAGACTGCCTCAACCTCTCAATGTGAGGACTATGGTTCACTCTCAATTGTGTTCCCTGCCCCTTCCAAATGTGATATCAGTCCGAAGCCATCTTGCCAGTCAAGCTCATCGGCCTCGGCCAAGTCGGAAGTTCCATTCAGGGCCCCTCAACTCAATGATGCAAAATCCCTAAAGTTCTCAATTGCCTCTCTTGGTCTGGAAGGCCTTTTGACACCTACCTCCTCCTCTTCATCTCAGTTATCAGCATCAGGGAGTGCAGAAACTCTAAGTGATTCAACATCTCCAATTCCAAGCTCTCTAGTATCCCCACCTCCACTGCTGCCCTTGAATCTATCTCAGGACTCTCTGTGGAGTCCAGGAGTGTGTAGTCCAGTTTTCAAGCCAGTTTGGGGCTGCTTTCAAGCAGGAACCAAATTGCGCTTATCAGGTGGAGATGACACCCAGTGGATTCCTGTTGAGAAGTTGGCCAGCAGTACAACAGCTTATCTGGTCCCATTCCTCCCTCCCCCATCATCTCCTCTGCAGGTGAGTAGGACATACATATGAATTTATCTTGATATTTTCAACAAATTATAGCATGGGTGCTCCCATCTTGTAGGTGAGCAAGATAGAGCGTGTGGCCACTGGAAGTGAACTGACTTTCAGCTTGATACAGTTCCGGCTCCTGGACTCATCAAAAGTGCTCATTGCAGCTTGTCCAACTGAACATCCTTTTTTAGTTCAGGAGAAGGGTATGAATTTCTGAGAAGCACATCTCACTTTTTGTTTTTCTCCAAGAATGAGACATCTGACAGGGTGAAAAATCTTTCACAGGATGGTCATCGGTCTTCCCCGACTTGACCGTTAGTAAATATGGAATGCCATGCAGAGAGCTGAAGGTTGGAGAACTGTGCATCCCTCCTGGTTATGCTGAAGCCCATACCTCTCTAACTCCTGACTTCTGTGCAAACTTCCAAGTGTAAGTTGTACTTGAATGATTATATTTGAAACTGAATTGAGTCTTTCAGCTTACATGTTGTGATTGTATGTGTCCACAGATTCACTTTCCCACCGTCTGTCTCCACCATGTCCCCAATCAACCTTGCATTTGGGAGGGGAAACCCCTTCCTCTCACCTCCTCCCATCCGTGGTTCATTCCCCATCCCAAGCCCCCCATCTTCTCCATCATTTGTTTCCTCCCCCTCTTCTCGTTCAGCAGGAGCACTGCCTATTTCCATGGCATACGATCCTGATCGACCCCGTCGTCCCATGAATGGCTTCATGCTCTTTGCTAAGCACTTTCGGCAGGAGATGATTCAGACCAACCCTGGGAAAGACAACAGGTACTGTACAATTTGCTTAGCTTTTATCCTTCACATAAGGAATACCATTCTATTAATCTTCATATATGCTGATTACCCAGGTCCATCAGTATTCTTCTTGGAGAGGCATGGAAAAATCTTGATGCAACACAGCGGGAAGACTACTCTCAGCGTGCCCGACAGATTGCAGACGAATACAAGCGTGTGCATCCAGACTGCTGGAAGCGTCGTCGCACCAAAGTGAAGCAAGTAAATCATGTCTCTATGCCATCAAATAACCTTTGAGAAAGTAATTGATCTCGATGGCTCATACATTCTCACATATTCAGTGACCTAGGCCAGATGTTCTTTTTTCTCCATGATAACCATGATCTCAATCATCTTCCAAATGCCTTCAACCTTATTACATCTTTGAATTTTCACTTTTGATATAAGGAGGAGTTCTTGCTCAACTCTTGAAATACTTGTAGAGATGGTTGCAAAAGGGGCATTAGAACCATATCACATATGTCTGGCTGCCATGTCATTGATTGGTTGAGGACATATAGAGTGCTTGTTGCTCAAATGCTGTGCCAAGCTGCCATGGATTTTTGTTTCCATATTGATCTTGAAAACTGTAGTCCAATCAGATCTCAGCTAGACATCCTGTCATGTTGCATTGGTCTAAAGTGAAAGCAAAGAGATTTTGATCTCATTCCATACTGAAATTGTTTTCATTTCTTGCAAAATATGGACCTATTAAAGTAGTTTTCAGCTTTCTATTTTGGCTTCTGATAGTCCTGAAGTGCCTTCAAAAAGTAAATGTAAGAGCTTGATATTGTGCCATTGGAACCCCAATAGTTTAAGGTGCCATTAGAATTTCTGGCACGATCTCATCTATCTGTTGGCTTTTGATTCTGCTTTGCATTTCAAACAGAGCAACAGAAGCTCTGGAAGATTGGATGAATGAAATTCTTAACTTCTTTTGAGCTTTCTAACCTGTATTTTATCTCTATTTGTGGTTTTTGGGACTTTCATGATTTTTTTGTGTGCACAAAAGAACGTGATTGTGTGTGTAAGCTATTTCATTGGAGTATCCCTGCAAGTTTTGGCTACATAGATATAATGAAACAAACTTGAGAGCAGTGGATTTTGCATGATTCAATGGCACATCTGAAATTGAAGCTATAGTGTGCAAATTGTATCACAAATTCATAACCTGCAATTCACAATTGTTTCACTGCTGATATCTCAAGGAAATAATCTCTATTTTCTGTTTGGCTGTCTGATTGGTTTATCTCATGAGATTCCATAAATTTTCATGATTTCTGTGGTGAAACTTGAACAAATCACTGTTGGAAGTTAGAGGATTCATAAGTCTGTCTTGCTCTGAGACTGATCAAATAAGGAATAATAACATTTTGTGATCTGTGCATGCCTCAGTGTGATGGACTCCTCATCTTGAAGCCATCCATATCTGATGGGTCCAATATTTGTTGCCCCCTCCACCCCTCATCTATTGATATGTGATTGAGATGTCATTTTCTTGGTGTGCTGTTGTTGGACTTTTGGAAATTTTTTGCTGATTCGGGCTCAACCGAACATGTCTTTCACAACATTTGGAATGGTGGCTAAGGACTCAAAATTAGGTGAGTCAAAAGGAAGAAGGGAAAAAATCGACCATGAACTGCTGTGATATGGATTGGCAATCAATTATTCCCTTCTTGTAACTGTGTATCAGCATTTGGCAATCTTTATATCCTTTCAACCGGTTGGACTTTACCTTTCTTTCCTTCCCATATTTGCTGTTACTGACCCCAAAGGTAGACCATATTCTATGTGTTTTTTTTTTCTCAGCAGTGACCATGTAGATATCTTTCAAGTGGTTTTCTGACATTTCTGTTTCTGGCAAAACCTTCAAGATACATAGATAAGCCTCAGCATCTCAAAGTTTCATTGACCTGAAGAGTGAAGTATGTTGCTCTTTAGAAATGTGTAAGATATTTTGTGAAGAAGTTTATTTTCCCATCTTTCTTTGTTGACTTGTTTTCTTTTTTGGGGGGAAAGAGCATTGACATGATCTCAGTTTTTAAGAGAATATTAGGATTAGCTTTAAGGATTCTTCTCTTGTTATGTTCTCTCATGACCAGTGAATTACTGTGGAGTTGGCTTTTTTTGGGGGTGAGCTATAGTAGTTTGTTACTCGTGCTTGTGCAAGGACATGGATTCAGAGATGGTCATGCTTCTCCATGTGAATTTCTTGCAACGTCTTCCACAAGACAGGAAGGGGCCATATCATCTCTCTTTATTGTCCTGAATTCCTTGTATATGGATTAATCAAGAAACATCAATAAAGAAGTGTTACAGTGAAATGAGTCCCTTTGATGCTGCTGAAAAAAAACTTCATTTTCAAGAAAAATTTTAGATATTTAAAAAATATTTTGTATATGGCATAATAATGTACCCTAGCATGGAAATTCATCAGACTAGGATGAAAATTTGCATCACAGCATAGAATACAATACATCATGAGATCAATGACAAGGAAGTTGTGCATTGTGACACTAATGGATGAATGGATGAATCGAGAGACTACGCAACAATTTTGGAGCCCGAGAATACTTTCTCTCCCTGCCTTTCCCTGGAATCAATAGTATGTTCAGCACTATTTGCCCCCCAAGCATGAGATCTACGTGCATTTCCTCCTGTCCTGCCCATCCTTCTGTGAAAGAAAAAGAAATAAATATTTTACTGAAGGTCTTTATGAAAATGACACTAAGTTTTATTAATCTTACCTGGAACAATTTTGCTGACAGGCACATTTTCAGACAGCAAAAGGATTTTATTTGAAGCGAAAATCTCAAAGAGAACTTGAGAATCTTGAAATAGGCCTCTTGGTGATTCCAGCAGGAATTCCACATTTGTGGGAATGCAAGAAATTGTTGCAAGGGACTTCTTCTTAGCTAATGGATACTTCCTAGAATTCCTATTCTTCCATGAGTGCCCATCTTTGGACATGAAAGATCTTCGGAGCCTATGTGCAGTTGATGTTTGCTGGAAATTGAACCTATTCAGAGAGATGTGAAGAGTGACATGCTTGTTGCTGGAGAACCTGTCCAGGCCTCGAATCGCTGTCACCTGGCCTCTTACACAGGTCCAGGCAGGCATAGGAAGTTCCAGTTGTTCTTCTGAACTTCCATTGATCAACACTAAAAATAAAAAAAGAAGCTCCTAAATAGTTGTCCTGATGGTTTTTTGTGCCAATTTGATTTTCAGCCATTTTATCAACTTCAAACATCTGCTTGCAACTGGAAATAATTGCAGACTGAAAAAAAAACTGGAATATATGATCTGCATACAAAGCATATCATATATTCCAGTGAGGGAAATACTTCACTTCATTTTTCCAGAGAGGAACAGTTATAACTGGAAATTAAAACCAAATTTCCATAACAGTGGACATCAGACTAAATTACCAAGAACAGAACAAATCTTGATTAAATTTCCTTAGTTACCCTGATTATATGCATTTTAGCTACCCACCTTCATTGAAGTTCTCACTCAGAGTCTCATTGAATGGGTGAACAGTGAAGTCAGTGTGATTCTTGGGTCGACAAGGAACTTGTGACTTCATCTCAGCTGATGCTGTTGGTTCTCCCTAAGCAACACATTAGGTTCATACACTCTTTGTATATCATAACTCTGTTTAGATATCAAAATTACAAAGCAACTTACATTCAAAATGGTAGTTGTCAGTGAACTTTTTGAACCATTTAGCCTTTCATTTGACACTGAATCCTTATTTGGTTCTTCCAGTGACTTTGCTTCTGCTATTGACATTCCTGAAGGAAAAGAAAGGTTCAGTCACTCAGATGAAGCAGTTTGGAAAGATTTCAGTAAAAGCATGCACCTTCTGCTTCGTCATGTCCGTCTTTGGGCTCCTCGGTTTCCAGAGCCGACTGTTCGGTGAGACTAAGAAGCTGGGCTTTGACCCAACTGGGATCCTTTTGAGGCAGAGATGGCAGCCTTTCCAGCATTCCTGTCATCTGAACGAAAATGCGACCATTACAGAATCGTTCAGCCAAAGAATATGCCTTTAGGAGCACCTGAATATGGTCCTACCTGAAGGTCTTCTGCAATTATCTTGACTTTGATTAATATTTCTCCCGATTTGGTGTCCTTCAGGGGAAACCATTTCCCTTCCCTGCTTTCAGAGATCTGCCTAATGTCTTCCAAGTTGAGAGATATGCTACCCAGAAAATCTCTCATGGAAAACGTATCATAATCCCAAACCGTCTGTTGGTTCAAAAAAGAAAAAACTTTATCCAGGCTCTCAGATAGCAATCAGATGGAACGCATAAATCACAAAAGATAGCTTACCACTGTGATGGTCTGATTGGCATTTGGTAAACTAATAGTCACACTCTCATCCCACACTGGATCGAGCGTCCTTTTTTTAATGCTGGTTTTGAGTTTCAGCTCTGAATCAAGTTTCACTTCACAGTAGGGATCACTAAATCCATTGAAGTCCTTGGCCACTAGAGCCTTGGCACTGAACAAAAGAGAAAAAAAGAAATTGTATCGGCTTGACTCGTCCAGGAGCTCAAAAAATGTATATACAAAACCCACCTAGATATCGTCAGCTCCATGAGACCATCTGCATTGAAAATGTCTGCCAGAGTATCACGACGGACGGACTCGGCCCTCCCCGGTAAAAGCCTCTGGAAACACACCGAGACGGTTCGGTTAAGTGAGATCTCTCTGCGAGGAACCGTTGGAAGAAACTCGATCGCTCTCTGACCTGTATCACATTGGGAGAGTCCTCGATATCGGTGAGAGAGTCTGGGAGCGAGTCAAAATTGCCCATGCGATGCCCCACGGAGTTCTCCACCGACGGCACGCTTCGGAACACGACCGACACCTGTACCTCTCCGTTTTCTTGATTGTTCACAACGATCGGCAGCTTCTGATGAACGAGATTTGGTTCTTCCTGCCAAAAGAAGCACATTGTTATCTCGCATCCAAATGGCTCCACCACGGCTCCACCTTGCAGTGACGCGTTCACCTTGCTGAGGACCATGTTCGCCACTCCCAGGAACTCCACTTTCGTCCTGGCGGATTCCCGCGAGCAGACGACGAAGGAGAGCATCGCTCCGTCCACGTCAGATATCAGAATTTCCAACGACATCTCCCAACAGGGCCTGCGGGTATCTCGAATGCTCGTGGACGCTTTCAACTGCATGGATTGCGATTCCATCGCTTTAAAACGGACAAAAAAAAATAATACTCGAGATACCAATCGGTACCTTTTTCTTGTTGAGGAACACCGCACAGTACGGATTGATCCGCGGCCCACACCCGCTCGCATCCAGCTCGGCTCCATGCACGCACACGAACAGCACACCAGCCTCTGACGAACATTTCCAACAAGACGTCAGCATCCCCACGCGGGGCACTCGACACACCAAGCGACGACCACTCGCAAATCCTCACTCGTCCTCTCGGCAGATCCACCATCCGGCGAATCCACGGTGTCGAATCCGACCGAGGGTCCAATGTCGAGTCGAATGCTCGGCAGCACGTCGAACTCCAACTTGAGGTTCACCGTCCCCGCAATCCCCGCCGCCGTGGCCCCTTTGGTCCCCTTCTTCAGGCATGTCTCCACTCTAATGGCATTTTTTTATATATTCGATTCGACAACTGCGAGGGAATCATTGCGGTGCACGCGTCAAAATTCAGAAATTATAAATTTCTGAATTTAAAGACGACAATTTGCGAGCTCGTCAGACGGACGCAAGGCGCAAGGACGCAAGTTCTCCTCAATTCCTGGCAGTCGCAGAGATTCAACATGAAAAACGCCTGAGGGTGGATTTTTGAACAGAGAACTATCCGATAATGCTGCTTTATTTCCAGGAAATATCATGCATTTTCCCTGGAATAAAGCTGCATTATCGGATAGTTCTCTGTTCAAAAATTCACCCTTAAGGGCGTTTCACACGTTGCGTGTCATGCGTCCATAGCATTAATGCCTGGGCGGGCAGGCAGGCTCACACGTGCACTTGCATGTCCACACGTAAGTCCACTTACATTATGGGTTTTCACAATACGCAAGGCTTGCGCGTGGAAACGGGATGAGTTCAATTGAAGATGCGAGCCCTGCGTTTTGTGAAAAACCCTTGAATGTAAGTGGACACGGGTTTGCACGCGTGCGTGTGCCTGCCTGCCCAAGCACTCACGCAAAGGACGCATGACACGCAAAATGTAAGAAGACCTTCAAGGGTCAGATTTAAAAATTACGGGGAAAAAGCATTCCAACTTTTCCTTCAAGCAAGGATGCACACGCGTGTTTTTGGTTCAAACTTAAAAAAAATGTAATCCCGTGTTATTTTTAACATTGAACAAAATGACACAAACAAACATCAATTTCGGAGACGCTGCTTTCAAATTTTAAATGATTATGTTAAAAAAAAAGAACTTGCTTAGTATTTAAATCAGTGGTGCCCAGCCATTTCGGCGAGAGGGCTACATGGCTAACTCCCATAGCCATCGTGGGCCATATGCAGTCACTAATATTGTAGGAGACTATTTTAAGGAAACCTGAGGGTAATTATTGTGGGTTAGGACCTTGCCGGCCACTTTGTGTCCGCGGGCGACGGGTTGGGCACCACTGACATAAATATTCGAGAAACAATTACTCTGCCAAGGCCATGGGACACCCTGCAGTAATTAAGAGAGAGTCCCAGCATTCCCCTCTGCCACTCAGGGCAGTCCAACACCGACTGCATCTTTCGACATGAACTGAGGCACAGAGAAGGGAAAAGAAAAGACTGTTCCTTAGGTAACACTGATCAACTCATTTACCCAAACCAAGAAAAAAAAACCCACAGGAGACTTGTAACGACAGCAGTTGGATTATTTTTGAGGGCACCGTTGCTGAATTCCGTAACCGATCAAAGGAAGTACTCATCACAACTCCTCAAGAGACTTCCCAAGAAAACATTAAGGAATTCCCGGAGCTCCCCACCCCAACCCATCCCATCCCTTCCCCACCCCCAACTAAACCCCTCCCATAACCCACGACCGAGAACGGGTAACGAGCGGGCCTCACGTTCGACTGTTGTCCAAGCCGTAGGATGAGAGCGGGAGCTCGAACTGCGCCAGGGTGATGTAGCTGATGAACTTCTTGCATTTGATCCTGACGTGAAGGATCTCGACGCCGAGATCGTGCACGAGGAAGGAGTGGGTCTCTTGCCATCGAGACGAGTACGGATGCACCACGTGCTTCTGGCTCCCGAGGGATACGACCAGCCACCGGTCATCCTCGCCTATGGAAAACGGGGAATTCTCTTCGTCATCCCTGTTGTCGATAAGTGACGATCTCTGGAGGGTCTGAAAGTTTGAGTGACTTCTTTGCTTCAAATATTTTTATGCCAGAAAACCTTTAGCGGTTTTTCAAGAGCCATTCTTGAGAAATGCCGAGTCCCGGTATTTGAATGAATAAATAAATAAATAAAATTTAATTTAATTTTGAGAAGTATTTATCATTTTACGCTGAAGTCGCTCCGAACGCATCCCCCTCACCCGGCTTATTCACCCCGGAGACCGTGATGGTGAGCACCCCCTTCGAAAGCTGGTGCTTGTCCAGGCCGACCCCAGCCGCCTTCTCGTAAAATCGGGAGTCGAGGCTGAGATCGAGCTCGGGGACCACCGGATCCGGCTCGGTGCTCAGGTCGACGTCCCACCGACTCGGGTCCACCAGCCACGCCGTCAACCAATCGCTCACCATGTTGTGAAGCCACGACCTCAATATCGGCAGCTCCATCACCTGCACCCCCTAAGAACCGCACACAAAGTAAATCCACGAGACCGCCCGAACAACCCCCCTCCCCCTCGACCGACACCGACACCCACCTTGATCAGCCGGATGTCGAACCACACTTGCGGCTTCTCCGTGAAGCAGAAGGCCAACTGCTGGAAGTGAGGCCAGGGCACATCCTTCCCCAAGGTGAGAGACATCCAGAGCCTCCCCCGAATGTGCAACCGCTCCACGGCGATGTCCAGGTCCACGCCCATCAGCCTTCGCGACCCATCCACGTTCAAGCGTTCAACGATGTAAACTCAAAGACAGAGAGAACCTCGACACCCACCCTTTCCCCCCGATCCTGGTCTTGAGAACGAGACAGAACTGCTCGCAGGCCATGGAAACATCCCCCTCCAAGGCCACGTCGTAACTGCGAGGTTCGAGCAGGCTGAGGTCATAGGCGCGGACGTTCCGAAAGGCAGGCGTCTCCTCTCCTATCGTGAATTGCTTCACCTCGATGCTCTCTGAACGTCAAAAGTATCGTCGATTGACGGTTTTCATTGCAATCGACTCGACTGCCTTTTCATAAGCTAAACGCGTTTTAATCGTCTTCGATCGTGACTCACCGACGAACCCCGGCCTGGCTTCCCTCAACGTCGGATCCAAGCTCTCTTTCATCCAGTCCTTGATCCCCGACGCGGCAAACTGACTCCTAGAACGGAGTGTCGCAACCGGATATGAATTCATTTCAGGTCAGGCTCAGAGGTAAAAATAAGATAGAGGGAAAACATCCGGCAGGATTATCTCTTTTCAATTCTCTGTGGGATTTTGAGAGTGCATGGAAAATCTAAGTCCGCTTGAAGCTGCAGGATTTGCTCTATTATGAATTCATGAAAGAGTGAAGAGAGATGGGAGTGCATACATGCGGAGAGGATATTGAAACTTTTACGACAGTATCCATTTTCTAAATATTAAAGACGCGACCACCGACTCCAATCGATGTCACACCGCGCCACGCCATCAGATAAATTCCCGGAAACCCTACCCCCATCCCTCACCATCGACTGAGCAGGAAGTTGACCCACTCCGCCGACTCTCCCCCCGCGGTCGCCTTCCTCCGCCTCGCCCGCGTCGCCTCCAAGAGCAGCGACTCCCCCAGCGCCCGCTGCACCTTCTCCCTCCACACGCCGCCGACGGCGAGGCAGAGCACGACCAGCCAGACGGGGGAGAACCCGACGGAGCCGAGGAGGAAGGCCAGCATCGTCAATCCGCACATCCATCCGCACATCCACTTCAAATGCCAATCGATCTGCAGAATCGAGAACGGTATGGGTTATATCGTGCTCGTGACGCGGTGGGAGTCGAGAGAAATCGAATCTAATTGGAGAAGTACTTTACCACAAATTAAAAAGATGGGCCCTCACGCTCCAGGAAAAAAAAAAAGACCATTTGGCTGTTGGACTATATATTTATTGAAAAAAAAAAGTCAGACATGCCAAAAGAGCATCAAATTATCTCAGAAAACTCTTTAAAAAGGAATAAATAAATAATGCCTCCTGACTATGCCCTTGGCCCTACATTCGTACAATTCCGAGAAAAAAAGGACTGCAACTTACCCTGTTCTTTTGTTCGGCTTCATCGGTCAGGGTTTCCTGGTAGGATTTTTTCCCCTGATCGTCGGTGGCAGTGGAATCGATTTGCGTCGTCGTCGAAGCCCGAACCGACGACGTCTCGTTCGGTCTCTTCCCTCGTATCCTCTCCCAGACGCCATCTGATCAAGAGGCAGGGGATCAATGCCTTCGTGCACGAGTCCCAATGACGGGGTCTTGGCACACGCGAGTTCTATAATTCACGGTGAATTAGAACCCAATTGACCTTTTCTATGTACCGCTAGGTACCCCCCGCTCCCCCCTTGCTCCGCGACGCATCGGCAGTCCGAAATCACATACGGACGAAACTGCAACGCTTCCACGCCACCCGATATCACCCTATAAGGAAATAAGTATCACGTCGAAGCTTACTAGGAATGGACCGGTCGCGTGTAGTAGAGCGTCTATTAGCAGGCAGAACCATGTCTCTCAGGAATGACGATGAAAACAAGGGGGAACACGTGATAAGGATGCTGCTCAGCGGTAACTGAGACTCGCATTGACGACGCAGGCGAGTTTTCACCACGCATCATTGTGGGGCCGAAAGAGCACGTACGATCGCTTCTCATCAGGCACCTCTTTCCTATTGGTCGCTTCCACTTGCTTCTTTTTTTTTTTCTTTTTTTTTTTTCTCGAGGAGCGAGTCGAGACCTTGAATCGGCTTGACAGGCCAGCCCAAGCCTTGTCAGGGGCTCATTTGCATTCAATGCTGGGGTTCCGATATTCCCTTTCCCCATTGATCAAACCCGCCCAATTGACATCAACGTCGACGGCACGAAACTTTCGGGGGAGAAAAAAAAAAAACTCACTCCTCCTCCATCCCGAGAAAAAGGTTTTGGCCGAGTAGAACTGTAGCCGCGTGGTCACACCCATGTGAAAACGCTCGAGACTGACACGGTCGAATGCAGGCCGAGCGCTTCTGCTTCGCGGATCCATTATCTTATCTGAAATTATCTGCTAACTCGCAACACCGTTCGCAGTCCACGTGTGTCGACATGTGCCTCGTTTTGCAAGAAGCTCGAAGAATCTCCGAGAAAGATCTTCCGAAACCGGACCGAATCCGAGAAAACAACGAAAGCAATTAAGACGGAGTAATCAGATGCTGCAAGAAGCGACAGCCGGCTGTCGAGTTATGACAGGACCCGAGATACGGATCGACCTTGCATCAAGGGCACTCCCCCGGTGTCATTCCTCGAATGGACATGGGTCCCCAAGATGCCAGAAAGGGCCAAGAACAATGGACTCTCCTCACGATCTCAAACTCGTATCAGCTGGGACTCACCGGCTGTTTACATTGGCAGGGCATCCCTCCCCCCTCCCCCTCGTCGTCGCATTCTTCTCCCAGAAGGAAGTTTACGCCTGGGATCCCTCCAGAACGGTTCTCATTTAGAACATAGCGTGACCTTTATCTGCTGACGTTCGCAGGAAACGAATTCTCGAGAACTTGCCTACGAATCGATGGAAGGGGAGAGGCTTGCCCGACATGGATCCCCCGCACCCACGACGACGCCCGACGATCGAAAGCGGGAAGATCAGACACGACACGCACCACCGAACATCCTCCTCGCACGATGTCAGCTTCGCGACTGCCCCCGAGGGGGAGCGGGTGTCCGTCGGCCCGATCGCGTCAGCGCTACGTCACCGACCTCCTCGAAGGGTTCGTGCAAAGACGCTAGGCCACACTGAGGAGGGGCAACCGTGAAGGCGGTCGATGCGCCTTGCGCCTTAAAATAAGTTCGATGGATCTCGAAAGAAAAAGGAAAGAATGCTGCTCCCCATTCACCGGTTTTGTGGAACGGAGAAGACGTATGAAGTCAGGTCTCCCTACGAGCTTGTTCGAAGCATTGTTCCATGTGCGTGATTTGAATTTCTTGTCATCGGCAAATATTTTATTCTTACATCCAAGATCATGACTGATTTTAAATTATCTTTTTTTCCCCCCTCTGAATCCTACCCCTTTGACAGGGTATTCCAATACTTCAAGGTAATCCCCCCCCCCTGTACATTAATGTCGAATTCATCTGAAAAGGTAAAAACCTTGAGTAAAAAACTTCTAGCATACCCGTAACACTTTTACCCCGTTACTTCTAACCCGTTCACTTTTAATAATTTCACTTTTAATAATAACATTGGGGCTGCCTGTTTTATATTGCAAGGTTTCTCACTCATATACCGGATAGGGAAGGAAATAAAACGCGCCGCTCTTTCAAAATTTGTTGTGCCTCTGAAATAGCAGCTGGAATAACGACATTCTTTTTCATATACTCGTTCGTGCATTCCTCTAAGCATCCGAAAAAATTTTGCCCGTTTATTTCTAGCCGTTTTAGCACAAGTGTTATTTTACAAAAACAACTGGAAATTTATTTTTGCACTCGCACCTGGACGGGAGAACCTGCTCCGCGAGGAATATTCCTTAAAATAATTATTTAACAATTCTGGGGTTCTTTGAGGGGTTTTTTCCCTCTGCACTTCAGAATCCGCTAAGCAGATATTTGACTCGTCCTGACGTCTGACAATTTGCAGATGGGAATTTTGCATTCCAAAAATATCACCTTGAGAAATTATTACTTCTTCCGCATGAATGCAGCCCAGGAAAACGTTTTGTAGAGAGATCTATAGCCTTCTACAGGGTGTCCCGTAAGTCACTATACAATTTCAAAAAATCACAATTACAAAACAGTTAGGGCAAAAAAGAAAAAAAAAATGGAGGTATTTCTGGGATTTGCAAGGGCCTCAAAATGTCCTCCGCCTAAATCAATACATTTGACATGAGGCTCAGCCCCCAAAAATCGTCGAAACGGCTTTTGAACTCTGATGGGGACTCTCAAAGACATCCATCCAGGTTGGAGGTTTTCTTCGTTGCTCCAGCGTCAATTGCGAAGGAATTAACAGTGAAATCTCTTGACAGCGAAACCAAATTTAATTAAATAATATTTTGTTATGTTTCTCGAGTCTGTCACAATTTAGGAGAAGAGAAAAACAGGAAGTTTGGCAATTTAGTAGAAAAGCATTCAATAAAGTATGCCAATAATTTCTCTATGAAAGCCTACCTAACTAATATGCATTTGAAGCTATTTCTGTTTGAGGCTGTTTCAAAGTCATTATCATGAGAATAATTCTAAAGATCGTACTTTCCATCAATACTAGCAACAATGACCTGCTTCTTGTAGTTGGGAAAATATTGCAGTTTGAAATGCCATAGTGACTTGTGGGACACCCTGTATAGGGTTTTCAAAGTAGTTTTGTAAAGTTCAAAAGACCGACCATTGCCCCTGGATAAGACTCTATACAGGGTATAGGGTGTTCTACGGTAAGGGGCTAGAAACCGCACAAAGGGGAAGGCTACCATCGCGAGGATACGGCTCAGGGGGAGCGAGTGGACGAAAATTCTGGGGTGGTCGGTACATCATTTCCATAATTGCATATATAATAGGCACGAGCAATAAATCATTGAAAGAATGGAAGCATGAACTACGAAAGGAGTTTTTAGGTCGGTCTTGTCGCCTGAGGAGTCGCACTGCCTTAAGCGGCAGGTAGCTGCAACGAAAGGCTGAAAGAGAAAACGCGTCAAAGCAGGAACTTCCACGGAACGCTATAAAGGAATGGAACCCTCGAAGAGTAGAGGTGCACCCGGTCAGAGGAGAAAAAGGATCGATTCCGCGACATACTCCCCGAGCGAGTTTCAGGAATTCTATAATTTAAAAAATCGCATCAAGCTCACCGACCAAATATTGCGATCATGAAGACTATGTAAACTGCATTTTCCATTCGTGGAAACTGCACGGACACAAATCGACGACGCGGTTTAGGACGACCGATCAGCTTTCTACTGTGGAAGCCTAAAAGACATGCCTGCGCTTGCTGACGGTCACCCGCAACCGGTGAGTCTGGCCACTCCGCTCTCGTGTAGGCCTACGTATTGCGTGCGCTATGTGATGCCCTAATCCAGGGATGTCGAACTCAAATCGGTCGGCGGGCATCATTCCTTACCCTGCAGATGCCTGCGGTCCGCGCCCATAATTTTTCACCGAAATGTGTGCCAACAGTCAATCCAAGCGGAAATTTCAAGAACAGACGGCGGGCCGTATGCTTGACACCCCTGCCCTATTCCATTACCGATGAGCCAGGGCCTCAAAGCTCAGGCTTCCCACCTGGGAGGAGAGACGTTTCGGCTTGCCCAGTTTCTCATATCCCAAAGTGCACAATATTTTTTTCCAACTAGTCGGTGCAGCGACGGACCTCTTTAAAATTGCATCACTTGAGATGGAACGCATGACCCCCGTGAGGATTTCCAGCATTTCATGACTATGATCTAAGCCATATCCCTCCTCAAGTTCATCATAAATTCATCGGATGTGAGCCCTCTAAAAGGCACCTCACATTCTATCAAATTCAAGGTGACCTTTGTACGGTCGAAGAAAAATGCTAGGATGAAGCACCACCGGGCGATAATTTTCCCTCCTCAATCCGACCATCAGGATTCAGAAATTGACAGCAATATCGAAGTCATTGTGATGCGTTTTTGCACAGCGAAACGCATCATATCAACATCGTCAGCCACGCAGATCGATGAACAAAAATGGACCCGATTTACTCGCGGATCACAGGGTGAGTCCTTCGAGTCGTACTTTGCGATTTCGTCTACGAGACGTGCGGAAATAACGGTTCCGCCTGGTCTAATCGTGGAGCTAGCGATCGCACGTGTAGCGGTTACAATAATTGCGAGTTTCTGTCGACTGGCCTTCCTCGTGAAGCTTATTTCAAGGACACACGCGCGGGACACAATGGGGATCTTCTATGCCCTCGTTAGCCGTATTCCGAAAGGCAATCCCCATGCATCTTTTGTGGAATCAGTCGTCATAAGCCTCCGGATCGCGATTCCCTTTGAACGGAAGGAAGCAGATTTCCGTTTCGCGCGAATCCCATCGCAGAGAGTGCTTCCATGGGTTTTCCGTATCACGTTCGCGCTTCTGTGGTTCTCGTCTTTCTTTCATCATCTTTCATGCATTGTCTCCGGCGCTGCTCCGAGTGCATTTTAGTTTGAAAGCCCCAAATTTGAATTTTACCCAGGCTCTCACCCTGTCCTTTCCCGCGAACTTTGGCCTTCCTAAGCCCATCCATTTATCCAAACACGAGGTGGATCCTGAAATGACGAACGGATGGACGAAGTTCGATCCATGATGCACAGGGATCACGGAGCGAAAACACATGTCGCAACGCGATTTTCTTTTACGGAATCATCTGGCGACATGCCTCTGTGTTCGTTCCCTCACGCTGTAATTGCTGCTCTCTCGTTCCAGTTTAGATGGACCTGAAGGTCATATCGGTACCTGACTGCTAAAAGGGCATACGAGCATTTTTTAAATAGAAAAATTGAGTTCTTGGCATCACTGAGTTCAGCTTATCAAGCTGTATTTCCTGCCAAAAGGACATTTGCCTATCTTTCGCCGTTTAGGAATTAAGGGATTCTAATAGGGCATTCAAGCTGATCGTACTTCAAAATCTTACTTTTGAGGAAGTTATTTCTTTT